GAGTAGGTGTTAAACTTGGCACTTACTAACTAAATAAAATTCTTAATCAGAGGAGAATGCTTGAATGAATCGTTGTTGTCGTTGAATAACATGATTACACTTACAAACTGTGGTAATTGATTAAATGTGATTAATTAAAGAATTTTTACTGTAAAGACAAATCATACTTACTTCCTTTAAAATGTAGTTGGTTATTGCTATTGTTAACTACTGTATTATTAATTATGCGTTCATTGACAAGCAAATATACTTACAGCCTTGCAAATTGATAAAATAAGTATTATTTATAAACTATTGGTATGATAATATACTTATTAAACATTTCACTCACCGCCTACCAATTTAAAAAATTAACGGAGAACTGTTATTAAATTTGAAAATGAATAATCAAGTTGAACGTAATTCACCAAACCTTTATACCCACCGCCTAATAATTTTATGCGAGACAAGCACCCTAAAGGTTAATTGATTATTTGCGGCAATAAATACATTACAGACATGCACATTACTTACACCCTGTTGAATAAGATTTATTATGATTAATGTATTAACAAAATAAACATAAATTCATTAAACTTAATACTCACATCCTATCATTTAATACATTTAATACATGTTAATCAATAATGATCAATGATTTTGATTCGGATAAGAATTTTTAAACTTTACGCTTACTCCCTGTTAGTTAAGTCCGATATCATTAAGAATAAACTATGTATTAGATATTAACATATTATGCCTTGACTTACTCGCTGTTATGTAGTAAGAGAAGTTGCATTACTCGGTTAATTAGATATATTATTACTGGAATTTGATCAAAGTTATTTCAGGAATATAAGAAAATTTACACTCACGATTTAGCGAGTTGGCGCGATTTCGATTGGCTGAAAATGTATTTGCAAAGTTATATCGACTATAATAAATTTGCTGATAACTCTATTAGAATTTGATACTTACACTCTGTTGAATCGAATTGATTAGAAAAGTGCATTTTAGAAACGTTAAACACAAACTTGAGGAATTAATCGTACTCACAAACTACGCATTTTTGGTTAAATGAAATGCATTAATTAGAGATATTTATTCACAATGTATCATTAATTATCATGTCTACTTACTAGCTAGTAATTATTGAGGGCTAATTAGAAACATTTTTAATAAATCTTATTAAATTTGTACACAGTTAACCTACTACTTACCGACTAGTGTTGATACAAGTACGTTATTAGTGAGGCGTTGGTCAAAATAGCTTAAAATAAGAACTAGACTTACTCCCTTTTGATTTCATTGGAAAGGTAATTAATTTTAGAAGCTATATTGATTATAACGAATTCATTAAACTTCGTACTTACGCCCTGTTAATTTTTTGAAACGTTGAGTTTTCAATAATAAGTACAGACTTAAGTACAAAAATCATTAAATTCTATACCAACCGTCTAATGCATGTAATTTTAGTTCGATAGTATGCTTTACGAATAAATCATATATATATTTGTACAGTATTAAACTTTCCACTTACTCTCTATTGTTGGCGCGGACGCAATTTTTTGAATTGGCGTTACAATCTTTGATTAAATATAAAGCTATTGCAACACTTTCGTTTTAGGATTAAATTTGTAATACTTACTGCCTATGGTATTTTGATATGCAGTAATTATGAATTATTTAAACGAATTAATTATTGATGCAAATATTTATTACTTACCGTCTAATGCGGCATTTGATGCGCATGAAATTGAATATTAAATAATTTAAAAGCACTTAAAATCAGGCATAAATTATTTTATGCCTTTGAAAGCTGCTGTAATATTTTGATCATACCCAAAATATACCATTAAATATTCTTCTGTATCTGGGTTTTGAGTGATCCCATATACTTTGTTGTTTTCTAGTTGCATTTGTTTTTTAAACTTTCAAATTTGGTGCACCGATCGTATACTATAGTTAGCTCATTATAAATAACTAAGCAAATCATTTCCACTTACCCTCTGTAAAAAATCTGTATGATTCTCTTGAGAACCATGCAGGATCTTTAGTTCAACCATGTTTGATGGTTTACGTGACTGCACATACTTTCCGTGTTCACCCGTAATTGTTCTTCGACCGTCTAACCAGGTTGCTGTAAACATTCCTTCTCCATTCTCTTGTATGTCAACCAATCTATTAAAAGGAATCCATTCGATCGCCCTCTCGTAATCGTTAGCTTTGAGTTGAAATTCTTTGATGCAATTATCAACATTCTCATTTCCACTTGTCCACCCTTGTGTCATTTTATATCGATCACATGATAAACACCAAGCTTTTGATGTATTGTATCGGTTGCAGTGGGCGCAACTTCCATATGCCGAGTCTCTTTCATAATCCAAAAGTGCCATATATTCATTTGTGGCTGGGTTCCGAGTCAGTCCATATACATGTCTTCCTCCTTCTGATGATACGTAATGTTTAAACTAGGAGATATTTATTATCGATAGCATTGTGTGAAACTCAAGAGTATAAAAACTTACAATTTCTAAGAAATCTGGATGACCTTCTTGAGAATCAGAAAAGACTTCAAGATCAATCGTGGTGAATGTCTGACGAGATCGCATATATTTTCCACGTTCACCGGAAATCATCCGTTTTCCATCTAGCCACGTTGCTATAAGCATTCTTTCATCGTTCTTTTTTACTTTATCTAATCTATCAAAAGGAACCCATTCAACTATATTTTCGTATTCTGTGGTTTTAAGTTGAAGATCTTTGATGCAATTGTCAACTTCATCATTTCCGCTTGTCCACCCTTGAGTCATTGTGTGGGGATCGCATGACAAACACCAAACTTTTGAAGTGTTATGTCTGCTACACTTGCTACACATTCCATACATGGGGTCCCTTTCATAATCAAAAAGCATCATATATTTGTTTGAACTTGAATTTTGGGTTAGCCCATATACGAGCTTCTCGCTTTCCGATTGCATATGATGACGAAACTTGAGGAAAAAAACAAGTCAATTATTATTCAATGATGATTATATGAAAAAATTAGTGATGAAATTACTATTTTTAAAAAATCCATGCAATCTTCTCGAGAATCGGAAAGGATCATGAGATCGATCGTGCTGTGTATTTTACGTGATTGAACGTATCTCCCACTTTCGCTTGTCATCATTCGTCGACCATCTAACCAAGTTGCTACAAATACTCCTTCACCACGCGTTTGTATATTATCTAATTTGTGGAAAGGGACCCCATGTATGGAATGTGTAGCAAGTGTAGC